TATATGCATATATATTATATATATGCATATATATTATATATATGCATATATATTATATATATGCATGTATATGTACATATATATATGTAATATGCGTCATTACTAAACCTTTGTTCAAATGCTGGGGAGAAGCCGTCTACTAAAACTTTATGACTTCGCTTTTTCATCCATGTAGAGCAAGAACAGTTACATATATGGACAAACTACAATCTATATTTTGATTTTCATACAACAGAGCATTGAAGTTACCTCTGATCATACATGTGTCAGTCGTTGCTGTTTTTTCTAGGCTGTGCGGAAGGTTGGCAGTACTTGGAAAGCACCGATTCCTGTTATTTTTTCGTAAGTTTTAGAGATGCTTATCCTTTTTGCGCAAAACTCCGGAATTGCTATATTAGGGTGTGAAATGTAGAATTTAGAAATCGGAGACGTATATGTCACAGCTGACACATGACGAAGCAAATTGTGTTTCGTCTCACGGCTGGAACAGCGAGTACCGGTAGGAATGGAAATCACTAGTACAGCCTGCCCCTCGCTATGTATCGATGTGCGTGTTACAAAATTCCTAGGACTGGAGTAAGATAGGAGTTAAATTAGAAACCCACATTGATAAAGAGCAGCCTCTCACGGAAAAGCGAGTTTCGCAAAGGACGAATAACCCGTTTCACTCCGCAGGCTTATTGAAAGGCACAGACCAGCATGTCTTGAAGGACTATAAGGCATCCTGTTTCATTTCCCCTTAGTCTGTCGTCCTTCAGCCTGCACTCCCCTTGTCCTCGTCGTTTTTCATAACTCGATTCGTAGGAGCCTTCTGATTACCTTTCACTTCTTCCCTCATCAGATCGTTTCGATTTGCAGCAACACACCTTAGCAACATACAGTGCGGCAGAAAAAGACTGCATTTCGAGGGAAGCGAATGTCACTTCGATCACAAGTGCTGAAGAAAGGGATTTTGTAAACGGTAGGATTCATTCCCAGTTTTTCAGATTCATTAGCTTCAATGCACGAGCCAGCAAGTTAAATAATGCTAATGAATCGAAGATTTTCTCAAGTTGCATGCTTTCCGACTCCAACATCGAAATTATGAAAATTTTAGATCAGTTCAAAGCAAAATTTGAATCATACTGGATAGGCCTGAAGAAAAATGCAGACAATGAATGGGAATGGATCGATGGTACCAAACCTACAACTCTTCGTTGGCGTATAACTCAGCCCGATCTATGCTGCGGTTTCGGTGTAACTTGTACGCTGGTGAATTACGTGGGTACCGATGGTTACTGGGATGATGCTGGCTGTGAGTACATTTGGAATCTCATTGGCCAGGGTTATGCGTGTAAGAAGAACGCTACTGCCGTTATATAAAAAACTTAAAATTTTCGCGCTCTGCATTTGCTAGTCACAACTATATTGATACCTTACTAGAAAAAATATTACACATAAATTTCTGGCGCAGTAACGAGCGGCACTGCTTTCGTGCGAAAGACACACACTGATTTTCCGGGCGATCTTGATAGTTTCTGGCAAATGTGTATGAACCGGGTGAAAGCGATAAATTGTTTTTCAGTAAACATTTTTTGAAAAACAAAATATTGCGATTTTCCTTCAAAAAATGCTCTTCATCAGCTACTGCTGGCGCTTTGGTTTTCCATAGTGAAAACTCTCCATCAGATGTATAAAAATATGGATAGTGCAAGGCATATCAACGAGAAGACTTACTTAGATCAGAGTACTGGTCAGACGCTAGCAAGTACAGATGAGAGTGTGTTCTTCG